GGGCTCTGTGCTGATAGCAGCAAGCCTGACGTGGGGCTCAAACTCACGAATTGTGAGATCATGACCTGAGCCAAAGTTGGACGCTCAACCAACTGAGCCACCCTTCTTCATCTTTAAAGCTAGCCATGTGGTCTCTTCAAATCTTAATCTGGCTCTTTCTCCCCTCCTCTCATTTCTTTTTCTGTTGTCACTCTGACCCTCCTGTCACCCTCTTATAAGGGGCCTTGTGATGATATTGCACCCACGCAGATAATTCATGGTGATATTCCTATTTTAAGTTAATCCTTAACTTAATCACACCGGTTGGTGATTCTGCTGAATGTTCTCCATCCATGCCTTCTTTCCCTAACTCTCTGTCTGGAGGTAGAAGTGGTCAGGAGGGCTGATCCCTAGCTGACTGTACCAGCCAAGCCAAGGGGTCCAGTTAGGACAGGAAGTTACTAGCAGGAGATTTGAAGACAAGCAGAGAGAGAGAGGTCAAGGCGATCTTAACCCCCTCCCTTTCCAGCAGGTGGTTCTGGCAGCCCCTACTGGCAGCCTCCTCTCTGGCTCAGGGCACTTCCCCCTTTCCCCTGAGGCCGAGTGGTGTATCTGTTTTTCTCTAGTTCGTGTCTCGGCTCCCTGAAAGTTTCCCTTAACTCTGCCCGCATCAGTGGTCCTTTTACACAGAACTCTGTCTGAGGGCACCTCCTGTTTTCTACTGGAACCTGAATGTACAGAAGTTAAGATAAAGCCTGTCTGTGGTATTCAATCTACTGTACCCTTTGATTTTGCACAGGAACGAAATTGAGGTCCAAAGAGGCTAAAGTCACATGACTGATTAGTGCCAGCCGTAACTAGAAATCAGGTCTCCTAACTGCTTCATTATTTGTATTACTTTACTTTTTTCAAAGGGCTAACTCTAGAATGAGCAAATAGACATAAACAAACTGTGACTTGCTGAATTAGTATGGAAACAATCTCCAAGAATAGTGCTAGGGAGGCCCTGTTTTCCAAGATATAGTTTGGTTAATGATGAAACTGAGATGCCGATTCCTTAAGATTATGAATCCTGTGTTTCTTCCTAGAGCTACATCTGGTAATTTTTTTTTTTTTTTTTTTTTTTTTTTTTTTTTTTTTTTTTTTTTTTTTTTTTTTTTTTTTTTTGGTATTGAAGTAGTGAAAATCATAATCCAGTGCTTTTTTAGACCATCCCTTTGCCAGATAAGTATGTATGCCATCATTCTTAGGTTAAATTGGTAAAACAATATGCGGAACCATGTCAAGAGGAAAAATCCTTCTGTAACGTATTAGTCGTTATTGTAGGATACTTACAAAGAGAGAGAATGGTTTCCCTATTCTTAGAGATTTACCTGTTTTACTTTTTTCTTCTTTTTTTTTTTTCCATAGCCTTGACCAATGTGAAAGAGTCTTGGAGCTCTTAAAACAGTATCAGAATTTTAAAAGTGTCTTGACAACTTTGATTCAAAAAGAAGAGAATGTCATCTCCCTTCAGGCTTCCTACATGGGAAAAGAGAACCTGAAGAAAAGGATAGCAGAGGTGAGTCCAGATTCCAAAGGGAACTCTACACCGTGGCCTCAACAATAAAGAGGATATTATAAATGGAGTCATTTTTGAAACTCGGCTTACAAGAACGGTGACTGTTTTACTAGATATCTAAGACCTTACTAAATTTATTACTAGGGCTTGAAAAAATCCCAGTCCCCTAGTTAACGCTAGGTTGCTTCTGTTTGGTTCTTGATACTGTTGGTGTGGTTCTGCTGGAGTCTGGGGTCACCCCTGCTCCTACCTCTGTACAGTTTCGACAGTCTTTGCATTGACCTTCTACCCAAAAGGAAACTGAGGCTTCATTTTAGGCTTGAGAGAATGAAGGTAGTGGGAAAACCCCTCTGTTATTAGCAGACAAAGGAATAATTATGTTTTTATTTATTGGCTTTCTGTAAAGGTGTGTGAGTGTATGTCCATGTTGTTCCATCTGTATTCATAGCCTAAGCAATCACAGCATATTCGAAGAAGAGTAACACTTTTGGACACTAGGTGTCATTATTTTCTGCGATTTTATGTGGTTATCAACCAGAATGGCAGAAGAATGGAATCGTTGAAGGACACTGCCTGCTACACGATGTGACTGCACACCAGGAAGTTGCTTTTCCTAGCGGCTTTATGGTTTGATGAGAGAGAATCAACCAGATGCCTGCAGACAATTTAGTCTTTATCTAGAACTCTTATCCCTGAAGCCGAAGGTGCAGGGTGCAGACACATGACCAGAGCTATAGATGAGGAATAGCCTTAGTCTGAGACTCGCTTTCTCAGACTCAGTTTCTTGGAACTGATCAATCACAGAGAGCCTTGTTTGGACACCAGTTGTACAATATGTGACTGTGTAACTGGTTTCCTATGAGATTTAAATGAGGAAGGCCACCAAAACCATGAGCAGACAGTGCTCAGAAGCAACCTGTCTGCTTCCATCCAGCAGAGGTAGCTTTGGGTTTTGGTGGTCTTGGGATCTAGAAGGATCCTGTCATCATCCCAGGGGATTTAAAGAGCTGTGGGTTTTCTTCATTCCCAGTAAATTCAACATGACCAACCTTACAAGATTGACCTCAACCTTGTGTCCCAATTTACATAGCTACTCTTCTGCTATGGCCCTGATACCAGTTTCCCAACGTGTACTATTGTGTCAGGATCAAAATCTGCCTTATTCACAGATCCTGAGTCCCTACCTTGTATACTGAACAGATATCTAGTCTCTCTTGACTTGCAACTATTCTTGATTTGTGCTAATCCTCCTCAGTTCTGGAATCCCTGCCTTTGTCTCGTTAAGTGGAATCCCATTACCAATAGAAAGTCTTTCCTTTCCTGATCAGGTGAAGTAACAACTGTAAAGTGCCTAGGACTTCATCAGCACCTAAATGAGTGTTAGTCCTAATGACCCACCCTGTGTATGGCTGTGAACACTCTCTCTTCTCGGGTATATGAGCATTCCTCCTGCCACCTATAACTGTGAACTGTACTTTCTGGATAAGTTATTTATCTGATGAATAAAACTTACTTCATCACCCAGAAGCACTGTTGGGCTGGGGTGCCATACTTGTGGATCTGCCAGGTTGACCCCATCCTTTGAATGCTGGGCAGAGGCAGCCATGTTGTTCCCTGGGCCAGTTTGCTCTGGGCCTATGATGGGAGGGGCAGCCTGATGGTCTCTGAGTCACTTTTGGGTCATTCTTCTCCTGTCTTGAAGACTAATGCGTGCCTTCTGTTGAGATGGCTGGTCTATACCAATCTCCTTATGAAAGGGTCTTTTGGCCATTGTGTTAGTGTTCTCATTTTTTGGCAATATGGTATGAATATGGATAGACTGAGAATTTTCCAGATTTTTCAGTTCTGCTTCCCTTTTACTTAGCAATTCCATCTTTGAATCATTTATGTTTTCTTACCTTTTGCTGTAAGCAGTCAAGGAGGAGCCAGGTCACATCTTCAGCACTTTGCCAAAGACATAACTTCAGCTAAATATTCAATTTCATTGCTAGCTCGTTCTACCTTCCACAAAAACACAAGAACACAAACACAGTTCAGTCCAGTTCTTTGCCACTTGATAACAAGTATCTCCTTTTCTCCAGATCCAACATCATGTTCCTCATTTCTGTCTGCAACCTCATCGAAATGGCCTTTAGTATCTACATTCCTTTAGTGTCTATATTCCTTTAGTATCTACATTCTGTTCATCATTACTTAGTTATTCTGTAAGAAGATTGAGACTTTCTCTCAGCTCTCCTCTTTTCTTTCTGAGCCCTCACCAGAATCGCCCTTAACCATCATTTCAGGGCAATACTGGCTTTTTCTAGCAGACTTCTCAAAAGTCTTCCAGCCTCTACCCATAACCCAGTTCTAAAGCCTCTTCTACATTTTTTGGTATTTATTACAGCAGTACCCCACTGCTCTGTACCAATTTCTGTCCTACTCTCTTCAGGCTGTAATGAAAAAAAATACCATACGTTGGATGGCTTATAAACAACAATAATTTGGGGCGCCTGGGTAGCTCAGTTGGTCAAGCGTCTGACTTCAGCTCAGGTCATGATCTCATGGTTCATGAGTTCGAGCCCCGCGTCAGGCTCTGTGCTGACGGCTCAGAGCCTGGAGCCTGCTTCAGATTCTGTGTCTCCATCTCTCTGCCCCTCCCCAGCTTGCAGTCTGTCTCTCTGTCTTTCTCAAAAATAAATAAACATTAAAAAATTTTTTTTAATAAAATAAACAACAGAAATTTATTTCTCACAGTTCTGGAAGTTGAGAAGTACAAAAGCAAGGTCCCTGCAGATTTGGGGTCTGGTGGGGCCTTGCTTCCTGGTTCATAGATGGCTGTCTTCTTGCTGTGTCCTTAGATGGAGGAAAGGGCAAGAGAACTCTCTAGGGTCTCTTTTATAAGGGCACTAATTCTATGTATGAGGGTTTCACCCTCATGACCTCATGCCCTGCCAAAGGACCCACCTCCAAATACCATCACTATGGGGTTTAGAACAACAGCCTCTATGGTTTCTTATTAACTAACATAAAAATTCATAGTTTCTTATTTCAACAGCAATTTTATTTCATTTTTTAACTTCTAACTTTGTTTTGCCTGTCACAACAAAGTTTATTATGAAAATAGGCTGGTATGGATAAGGACAGAGCAACAGCAATTTTAACCATGGATAGATCAAAGAATGAGGACTTTTAATAAATTATTCCTGTGCATATGATTTCACATATGCAAAATATATAGTAATAATATAGTTCATTTAAACACGTCCTCATAAATGGAAGCTAGTATAATAAAGTTTAATTTTTTATTATTTTAAATAATGCTGTAGGGTGGAAAAGAGTTTTCATAAATGTGAGCGAGTAAGGTTTACAGTAACGTACAGAGAACTCTTAGAAATTAGTGAGTAAACCACTGAGATCCAAGTGGATATTTGTACACAGGAAACAAATTGGCAATTGTGAAAAAAAAGAGACATAGTTGAACCTCATGAGTAGTCAAAGGAAACCAAAGCTACTCCAAAATACCTCTGTTGGCCTTTTGATAGTCAATGAGATGTCTGCTCTTTATGTTGCTGGTCAGAGAGCATATTGACACTACTCTTTTGGAAAACATTTTGACAGTATTATTCAAGATCCTTGAAAATACGCCTCCCATTTGACCAAATATTTTACTTCTAGGATTAATCTTAAATATGGAAGATTCTTAATACCAAAGACATTCCTTGCAGCACTTTAAAATGTACTAATTTCCTTCTTTCTTCACTGGCCAAACCATATCCCCCTCCACTCCAATGACTGACTTGCCTCAGAAGCTGGAAAATCCTGAGGCCAGCAAAATTGGTTTTATTTGCAAATAAGAGTATCATGTGGCTTTGAGGTTTTTTTGTTTTTTGTTTTTTTTCCCCCAACATTTATTTATTTTTGGGACAGAGAGAGACAGAGCATGAACGGGGGAGGGGCAGAGAGAGAGGGAGACACAGAATCGGAAACAGGCTCCAGGCTCTGAGCCATCAGCCCAGAGCCCGACACGGGGCTCGAACTCACAGACCGTGAGATCGTGACCTGGCTGAAGTCGGACGCTTAACCGACTGCGCCACCCAGGCGCCCTGTGGCTTTGAGGTTTTAAGTAACACTGCTACCACTACTAAAAATGATAACGGTGATGACAGTAAAAGCTTCGGCCATTGATGGCTTGGCCATCATGTGCCAAGTTCTTCACACATTATTGTATGGTTTCATTCCCAAATAATCCTTCAAGGGTTAAGTATTAACCCTGTTATATTGATGAGAAAACCAAGGTTTAGAGAATTTTAGAAGTAACTGTAGGGTTTGTAATGTTATTTACACGGTGTTAAGAATGAAGAACAAAGGAATTCCTCACCCTGCCCTGTCAGTTTTCCCGATTTCTTGTGGGATTGTCAAAGGAGATACATACTCAAAAAATAAGAACAAATAGTATTGCTTTATTGTAAGTTGCGTGAGGGCCCAATACCCCAGCAGGTTCTCTGGGAAGATGTGGTTCAAGCATCAGGCCAGCCTAAATGCTTACAAGGCCTTTTTGTCCTCCAGATCGAAATCCAAGTCTTAGAATCTTATCACAGAGTAGCTCAGATATGGATACAGGGACCTGGGTTCTTCATCTTATGTCAAGATAGGTTCATAATGCTGGTCTCAAGGATCTTACCTGTTAAATGATAAGAAGCAGAAAAAAGAACCATATCCACATATTGTATTTCTCAGGCACGCTGATCCTGCTTACCAGTAACGTCTAATTTATGTCTTGGAATTTGGACAGATTAGCATCTTCCTCTGTAACCAAGGCAAAAAGTGAGGATAGAGGTTAAGTGACTTTCTCAAGATTATATGGCTGATAAATGGCATAATCATGATTTAATCCCAGAGCTGTGTGACTACAAAGTCATGTTTCAATCATCATAATATTGCCTTCTCTGTAAATGTTTGAAATACATATATGGCGGAAATAAAAATTAACTTTGCGTTGTCTCTTCCCCCTTTCTCAT